GATGCGGCGGCGCCCGCTACATTATGTGTGTGTGTGCGTGCCTCTTGAGTCTGGCGCAACTGACCAGGCTCCCTATTCGCTCGCTCCGCAACTCTCAGTTTCGACTGGGGCTCCGCACACCTCTGATGCCCATCTCCCATCTCCCATGTGTCGTCCGGCTCAGATCACCTGCCGATGAGCATCAGCAGATTGGCGCCGGGGAGCTCTCTTGTGCGCCTCCTAGCTACAGCTGCTGTGCCTAGTTGCGAGCTGTCAAACGGCCCCAAGAGGTCAGAGCTTCCTGCGGCACACCCTCCTGCTGCTGGTGCCGCCGCCGCTGATGGCCCTAAGTGTGAGGTTGGGTTGGGGTATCTGCACCTGTCTGCAGGACAATAACAAGAAAGCATGGGATAGCTGCAGCTGGCGGCCTCCTAATTGCGGACCTCGCTGCCTCCAACCGCTCCTCCTCCTGTCCGGCTCCAGGCTGGCTGGGCTTGGCATGGCTTCACAACTCCAACCTCACGCCAATGGAACACGGGGCCCCTCACCGTCTGTCCGAAAGTCCGCAAGCAGTAATTCCATTGCCTGCCCTGCAAATGGCAGGTGCGCCGCAACCCTGAGAGATGCTTGGCCCTGCCGGTGCCCCTGTCCACTCGGAGAACTGAAAACCGGGGGAAGCGTCCGAAATACATGGAATTCCACCTTCAACCGAAGGTCCTCCGGCCGCAACTCGCTCCATCTCGGGCCTAGGTGCGCGGGGTGCCAGAGGTTGTGCACAGGATGCGCCCGTATTGGTGCCAAGAGCTTTTCGTTTTTTGTCATTGCTCATTCTATTACGCGACGCCGCCCTGTTCGCCGCCGTTTCCTCTTCGTCTGCTCTCCCATCCCGTTCGTTGGTTTGCATTATCGTCCATCCGCTCAAGCCGCTCCACTGACGCGAGAGCGAACATGCAGACTTCGGGTAGGATGTGGCCCTATTGAAACCATCCCTATTCATGCCGATGTTCCTCCTGTGCGAGCGAGGGATCCCGGATGTTTCGACGTCACAAACGCCAGCACCACCTAGGGCAGATGCTTTGTTCATCCCGCCGTGGTTGATGGACAAATTGGCGGTGATGCGATATCAAAAAAAGCCATCCGTCTCGGTGGCCCTCGTGCAAACAAGCTCGCAGCTCAGTGGCTCGTTCGCTTCCCAGCAATCTGGCGTGCTGGGTACGCCAGTGTCAGTTACACCCTTCCCGTCTGCGGCTGCCCACGGAACAACCAACCGAACCCTAGCAAGCACATGCCTGGCCGACGGCTAGATATCGACCTTGAATTTCTTTGGCTTGACCAAACAGCCGCCCGTGAGCCCCCAGTCACTCTGTAATTTTTTTCCGTTGGGAAACTGCTGTGCAGCATAGTCTATTGCGTCTGCGGATTGGCTCAAACGGCTCTCCACACGTGGCCGCCGCTGACCATTTGCAACGTTTGGTGCAACTTCGCGATGCAAGGACATATGGTAGCCAGCGTCGACCCCTACCTAGTGCCCGCAGCACCCCACGGGTACCTGATGTGTTCATCGGAACTCACTAGTCAGCCCTACTGCGATTATGTACAGCTCCGTATCCTCTCGTGCTCTTTCCCCGGTCCAGACGTTTGGCAGGATGGTCGCTCGTCTAGGGCTCGCCGCTCGCCGCCGAAAGGGTCCCAGACCTGACCGGGATAAACGAGCGGTGAAGCTGCGGGCGGCTCTGGACGTGTGCGTTTTGGTTCGATATCGATAGTCCTTTCGCCGCCATCTATATTTGACGCGTCGACAACCGTCGTACGGTTTCTTGGTAAAAGGAGATCTCGGCCGCTGCTGTTGCTTGGCGCGCCTACTCGCATGCGTGCCTAGAAACATCATGCAGACCTGTCTCAGAGAGTCTGCCTCCGTCGTGCTGACTGGCATTCTTCCCTCGGCCGTCCCAGGTGGCCGACAGCCTATCACTTTTCACAGGCCAGTCACCGAACGGGAGACGGCCTCGCTCTCCGGCTCGGCCAAAGCTTGGTCGGCACAAGCTGTCTTGGGTTAACCTGAGCTTTTATCTCACTTATCAGCTATGTCGTTATCTTTCGGGTGAAGAGGTTGTCTTCAACGTTACAGAGCTAGAGTGCCACGTCTGACCCGCGTGCAAGCGAGTGTGAGGATGGTCAATGTGTGTCTTCAACGGTGCGGAAGAGAGTTCTCCAATGAGTTCTTGGAGATTGTAAGCGTTCGTGCCAAGACGGGATGCCAAGTCGATTCTGCACTACGACGGGTGAGGCGCTCGTGGTGGGCAATAGCTCCTTTGAGTGCTGTCTTTGGAGGCGACTTTGGGGCTGCCAAGGCCCTACTGCGTCGTTTCGGGATTTTGATGTTGAAGTCCGTTTGGACTGTCGACGTTGAAGCAATTTGGCCATGTGTTTGACTTCGATCTTTGCTGGCATCAAGCACGCTTGTGGTCGTGGTCCGAGTCTCGCCATCTTGCGATGTATTGATGCAGGCCCTGTCCTTGTGACTCTTAAGTGCCAGACTTCGACAATGAAACTGGACTTGGTGATGGCTCAAATGGGCGATGCTCGTCATTTTTTAACCATTCCTCCCCTATCTGCTGTTCACTCTTCTTGTTGGTGGCATAATATTCATTGGCGTATACACGCATATCCTATCCGCGGACGTCTGGTCTTAGCGTTTGCTGAGGATATCTGATCGATTTGTGAAGCCCGCCTTGCATGCATGGTCAAAAGCTACCAACAAACAGTACAACCGAGCTATTGCCGTCTATCGTTACCAAACTAATTGCAGGGAGGCATTCAATACATATCATATCTCTACGAGGACGGCTTGTAGCGCAATGTCACCGCCTCAGTCGGGTTGTCCAATAGGTGTACGTTCGTCCGGTGCGTATTTGTCGTAACTATCCCAAGCAAGCAATGTGACAAGCTTATCGGGAGCTGACTGCAGAGTCTTCAATGGTGATGTCCATGTTGAATCTGAGTGCATAACAAAAAGTCAAGCCCTCGGGAAGTCTCTCTATCTATAATGGTGGCGGGCCAGAGTCGAAAAACATCTTACTGGAGACTTCCTCGACATTGCTTCGTTTTCTTATCATGGTGCGGAATAACCTGCAGAGGGACGCTTAAGGACAGAGGGGAACAAAGGGCTGGTAGAATTTCGAGACGCGGCTCGAGAATATGTGAAATGCGTTTGATCTCACGAGGCATTCACGACATGTGTTCGATTTCAAAGAAGAAAATGGGGCGAAAGCGGTGAAATTGGTAGAGTTGTCATGAGAGCCTCGGACTCGACCTTATAAGTAGTCCGATTCGGAAATAGTAAGAGCGCGGAGCTACTCTAGATAGTTCTTGTATAATGGGATGGTTCTTTGGTTCAGTTTGCCTCTCCAACGAGAGATCGTCGTCTTCATCCACGGTGTTTGGGAAACAAGTTGCGAGATGGATTCGCGCATAATGAGGGCCCAGTTTTAAGATTGTCTCGATGAACAAACACGACAACGACGTATTACGTACAGGTACATATCAATACGCCAGGGGAAAGAAACAGTGGCCACCGACGTTGAAGGGCGACGAAGGGACTGTTTTATCTCTTGCTCTGCGCCTAACGTCCCAGACAGCACGCGGCCTCGCTGGCCTCAGTCAGCCAACTATCTCCTTAATGATTAACACCGACGCTGGGCGAAGATGTGTTACATTGGCGTTGTTCCATGGAATTACGGCCACCTGAGCCCTTTTAAAGGGCTTTGGATAAGCCTGGATGTCCTGCGGGGACGGTTGAAAGAACGAGGTTTCCATAATCGTGTTCAGTTAAAGGTGAAGGGACAGACCTCCATGTGATAGAGAAGAAAGTAGGCAATGTAAACGGTGACCCATGGCCACGCTCTGGATGAAACCATCATGGTTCCGTCATGCAAGATCGCAAGCCACAATCCTCCGACTTTATTCGTCTGTACCTATGCTCTGGCGACCCTTGTGTATAGTCGTGAGGAATCCAAACCAACGATGAGAGGCAAAGAATAAATTATTGCAACAATGTGTTATGACAAATTTCTTCTCATCACCAAGGAACCTTCATGGACCTCTCAATCTTATATCGCGGCCTTATCCGTAAGACAACAGTGAACAAAGGCGAACATCCTAACCTCCTAGGTCACTTCAGAACCCCGGTTCTCTACTGCCTCGATACTTCCTCAAAGTTCAGACAAACTCGAGAGGGAGTAGGGGAGCGAGCTCAATGCTCGAATCGATGCTGGGCTCTCGGACTCGAACGCGGTCTTTGGGACGAGGTATGGGTTGAACGACGTATTTTGCCTTCGCACGTTGATTCGGTGTGCGATAACTCGGATTGTAAGATGTGTTGGCCCTGGGATGTTGCGAGCATTGTGGGCTGAGGGCTCTCAACCCCGAGAGTAAGAGGCGGGACAGGCGGTGCATCGTGAATTTGATGTCGCAAGAGTCTGAAGACATCGTATGTGAACACAGGAACTGCGACTTCGAATAAAGTGCCAATATGGCATTTGGCCTGCTTATCTATCCCTCTGGGCGGAAGGATGCATTCTTCCCCTCAATGTCTCGCAGCCCTCGTGCAACCTGGGCGTTGTCTGTTTTACTTCCGGTCGCACTGCGCGCCATTATGTCTCTCAAGTTGCGGGACAGCCATCCAATTGGAGTTTTCACTTGTCAGCCATGGCAAGGCTGCCAAGGTGTAAGAGTCGGACTGTCCGACTCCTCCGTGATCCCTCGGGAGCTTTCCGCCACCAGGTCGTGTCACGAGACCGACTTGTGGAGGATTCCTGTGCTTACCATGGGTTGGACTCTCAAGCATGTTCTGAGCGATCAAAGATTCAGGTTCAGTTCAGTAACGGTTGGTTTCTATGAAAGTAAATGGTATCTCTCATCAATCCTAGACAACATGACCAACTGTTCCTGCTGATATCATCCCCCATCGCCTAATAACGACTTCTTCATTCCAGTATGTATGCATGCCTATCATCAAAATCTCATGATGCGAGCTCAATTCGATCGCCGTTGTCATTATCATTGACCCTGCTATGGCTGATACTCGGCGATCCCCGCGCCTCACGTGAAGTTGGGTCGATAATCGGCACAGGCTGGTATTTTTCTGGCTCGTAGAACCCGCTCAGATAGCGTGGCGTACCGGGACCGGAGGAGGCGACGTACGGCTGCATGGAGAATTGCTCTGGAGGACCCGGTGTCATGGGATGTACATATTCTTCCTTGTGTTGTCTCTTATGTCTGAGTATGAGCCAGACAATAACGCAGACTGCGATGGCGATCACGGCGACGCCGCCGACAACACCAGCCACGATGGCACCAGTGGTCGAGGAGGCGGGGGTGCCTGACACGCCTGAACCGCCGGAAGAAGACGATTCTGAGGCAGCTTCCGCTGCCGAGGATGCAGTTGATGATAGGGTCTTTAACACCAGGGCAGTCCTCGTTATCATAATCGAGGTGATTGCAATCGAGCCCGTAGTTGTGTCGAGGTACTGGGCGTTCCATTGCCCAAACATGCTTTGCCAGCATCTGTGATTTGTGACTGTACTCGATAATCCGTAATTCTGAACGAACATGAAACAAGTCGGCTCAGCAACCGTTACGCTAGCAACTCCCATTAGCATCAGTTATCATGGCGCAGTACTTTGGTGAAGAGGCCGCCTAAGGACTGAACCCAACGTACCAGCAAATGTTCCCGTCGTAAGATTCGTCGTTCCCGCACAAAGATGTCAAGCTTGACGGGCTGCTTGCGTCTATGCATCCCGTGTATGGCTCGTCGCGGCATCCAAAAACGGTCCCTGACGTCTGGCATGAAGCCTCAGTGTTGCAAACTAGAGTCTGCCAATCGGCTAGGAAGGAGTCAGTGTTAGAAACAATCTTCATGTTACGAGTCGTCACTGACTATCTCCATAAGAAGACCAGAATCCACACGTATCTGAGCCCTTTGATCGAGGCTCAATCTTTGCGTTTCGATAACGAAGCTTGGGAGCTGGTGTCGGGACCGGCGCGATGTCCTCAGTGGAACTGAATACTTCTGCGGGAGACGTGCGACGCGGAGGCGCGTGTTGTTTTTGTCGGCTATTCTGCAGCGGGTTGGCTGAGGTTGTACAGCATGCGCTGATGAATGCTAGCAGCAGGCTCAATGAGGGTCGCATCTTGCGTCTGCAGGTTCTCTTGAGAACGCCTCGCCAGATACTGACCTGAAAGAGCGAGTCTTGGCCCGCGGTTGGGGAGAATTTTGATGATGTTGGGGGCTGGTGTGGCCTTGTATATATCAAGGATATCCAACGCGACAACTCTCCAATCATGCCCGGTCCTTTTTACCCTTGAACGTGTACCAACATGTCGGGAGTTTTCTATGTGCGGAAATCGTTTCGTTTTCAGCCAGTCCCGCAACTGATCCTTGTCTCGTTGGTTGTTGGACGGTCAAATGATGGTTGGGACTCTCTTACGATACTGCCGGGGTGCGATGAGTTGGCTGCAGCACAGCCTTCAGCTTAAAGCTTGCGGCCGTAGTATTAAATGTGACAGAAATGCCAAAAAGTTGTCTTTGCTTATCTTAGCTGGGGGCTCAATGGTGGACTGTTAACGCATTCTGTACCTTGGTTAAGTCTGTTATTGAAAGAATATCTGCGATGGGAAGCGACGAAACCATGAGTTTGCACCACTTCTCCTTAAAGCAATCCGCAAAGTGATATGCTTAATCTCCGAAGAGCATATCGAAATTGCGGTCAAGTCGCATAAGGCAACAGCACTGTTTGGAACTGGAGGATGCAAACACGAGGGAACTGTGATCTACCAACAGAGCCAACGATAACCACGGGGACTGATACCCTTTTTAGGTTCTGTGCCTCCTGTGCCTCACCCAACATTCGGTTGAAATTTCTTATTCCTCTTAAAGACGTTTCGAAGTTATGACACCCTAAAACGCGCATCGAGATGCCTGGACTCGTGATTTTGGAAGAACGCAACATAGGCAAGATAAACCGTCTTGATAAAGGTGTTGAATACCACAGAGATTACAGCTAAACAGAAATTTTTACACTTATTGATTACGCGTGTTTCTTTTTCACTTAAGTCTATGCAAATTGCGCGCAACAATGGTATAGCCGCTGAAAAAATGCTGCCAGCCGGTGACGCCAAGATGCCTATGTCCTGTAGTCGTTTCCCAAGTCCGTCAAACGCCATATATGCTCAAAATATCTCGCCTATCATCTCCCAACCTGTCTGTCTTCCAGTTCCGCTCGAGGGATGCTATTATTAGGTTGCATGTCCCCGGGTGCCTCATGGATCACCGGGGCAGGCGGATAAACGGGAGGCACCGCCTGGTACTTGTACTGCTCTTCGGTCCCCGCGTAATGGTACTGCGGGCTCGAAGACGGAGCATGGCTCTGACCAGGGCTCAAATAAGGCTCTTGCCCCGGAGGTGGCGGAGTCTTGCTCCTGGCTTCTCGCCTCTTTCGCACGACCAGCCAAACAATGACGCAGGCTGCGATGGCCACCACAGCGACACCGCCGACAACACCACCCACAATTGCGCCCGTATTCGACGAAGAGCCACCGCCTGACGGAGAAGATGTCTCGCGCGGTGATGAGTCTGTCGGCATGGGACCCGTCCCCATTGTACCGCCGCTGCTGAAGAAGCCCGCCTCATCGGTGGCTGCGATCATCGTCATCGTCAGGGTCCCGCTCAAGCTGGAGTGCGCACACGTCAATCGTGTTCTAAAGTCCAATCTGCCGGCATCTTTTAAGTAGGTTGCGCAACGGGGTTCCCAGCCGTTCGCGGTTCGCGTGCTGCATCGTATCAGTAGACAGTTGGTTGAAAAATAACACATGACTCACCAGCATAAGACGCCAGGTGCTAGCGAAGACTGTTGGCATTGCGACGCCGAGCTGAGGAAGCATCTGGAATAAGGTCGTGAAGCGCACCCCATAAAGTTGCCATTCGTTTGACAGGGATTATTGGGGCAGGAGATGGGAAAGGGACCTCCGACTGTTAGCATTGTGGAACATATTCTACTTTATGGAAACAATCGACTCACTGTCTGGTCCGTTGGTGACAATTCCACAGGTATTAGGCCCAAGCGACTCAGCACGGCCGGCCAGGTCCGGCATTCGGCCCCATAGTCCCCGGGCGGGATCGGGTGTCGGCGCCGGCGGTTCCACATCGTAGCCGTAGCCGTTGTCCCCCGCCGCGACTGTCTGCCGCGCAAATCGGTCGTTTCCAGCCAAAGGCCCTGCTGCCATGGCCATTGAAATTTGGCCGGCGGCCGCAAGCAATGTCGCAGTTCGCATCTCGAAATATCAGTTTGCTAAGCCTATGTTGCAAATCAAGATCGATGGCCTGGCATGGAATCGTGGGTGACGGCCTCTGTGGGAAGACTGGCCAAAACTTTCAAAAGTCTGGGTAAAAGGGATAGTGAGTGTTTTATCCCTCCAAGTCTCACGTTCTGCAGCGTCTCAGGCGGGTGGCGCAGTAAGACGAAGGAATCGCAGGTCAGTGTAACCATCAGCACAGGCGTATTGTTGATCGGCCAATGGCCCGTCAAAAGAGGCACTATAGCGTTGGATCGACAATGCCCTATGATGAACTGCAGCCTGGTCTCATGCAACGGCGTCCGTGGTTTGCCGAGAAAACTGGAGAGGGGGCTTGGCCTGTAAGCCTGATATATTTAGGGTGAACGCGAGATCCATGCTTCAGACGTCAGTGGTAGCGCTAGCTCAAGGGCGTTATGCTTAAGTCTTGATTGTCATTTCATGGCAAAAGACGTTCAAGGGAGTTGGTGAGCATCCCGAATATTTTGAATTGGTCAGACTCTTTACTCCTGAAGCCTAACGTCGAGCGGCTTTAGACATTCGTCTCGAGGGAGTGAGATCTGTGCAGATTCAATTTTTGAAAGATGCTAGGCAACCCAGAATTTTCCATCTGTGTTTTGGTGATCAAAATAGTCGAGGTACAAACGACTTAGCGTGGTCACCGGTACACCTTTATTGGACATGTTGTTTCTTATTGCGGTAGAATCTGACCTGATCTAAGCCTCGATAGCCACTCACATACGGATACAAGGGGCAAGGAATCAAGAGGCCAAAACGGACCGATGGCAGATTGGTCAAAGAGGCTCAAACGTGGCGAGGATTTAACCGCCAAGTCGTTCCCTTCGGTGGCGGGGACTTCCGAGGCCAGTGAGTGAAAAATCGCGGCTGACGACCGAGACATGGCCGCCGTCGCGACCTACCCGCCCCTGGTCTAAGCTAGCGTCCGACTTTAATCAAATTTCCATGTTGTGTGACGCTGCCCCCAAAGAGATACCTGCGTGCTTGTAAAGGGGATTGAGGGTTCGACGAGATAAGTTGAACGAATGAATCGATTTCGTGGCTTTCGACCTTCAACAGTATGAAAGTTAGTTTCGCCCCCTCTCGAACAAGTTCGGAGTCTCCGACCAGGTATCCCAACAATCAAACTGTTCCCACCAATATTCGAAGCTGCCTCACTACGATGGTGGCTTCGAGGAAACGGCAAGCGGATGTTGTTGGTAGTAGACCTTGGATCTGTGGTCAGGACCATGTCGTTGCTGTTGAGCTTGAGCTTGATATCGCGGCTGCTTATGATGAGCTGGAGGCGGAACAGGATGAACTTGAACAACAATCCCCGGCTGTTTATGCGGTGCCGTCGGTGGTTGCATTCCATTGTTTCGTAAGGGCCTCCTCTTTCGATACATCGTAAACCAAACTACGGCGAACACGATGAGCGCAATAACAGCAATGCCGCCAACAATACCACCAATAATGGCACCGACCGGTGGCCCCACGGGAGCTGGACCACCAGTCTCTGATGGTGCAGCCAATGAAAAAGATACGGTTGAATCCGGAAGGCCCGTGGAGGTAGTTTCCGGTGAGGACTCGGCCGAATCGGTGGGTGAACTTGTACTATCGGTCGAGGGGGATGTTTCTGTGGTAGAAGGCGGGGGTAACAGCCACGGCAGGAGGCTTGTGTCTGTGACTAGGAATATGCTGTTCGTGTCCAAGCCTGACAGCATGGTATTGTAGCATCCGATATAGGTCATCTCGCCATCAGGATTTTCCATCCGCCAATTAACGCACTGGGGTTGCCATCCGCTGGTGCTCGCGGTACTACGGATCCGATCATTAGTCACATCGAAGCCAAGAGTGGTGTTTGGTCTGGCTATTCTTTCGTCCTGTATAAGAAACATCGCCAAGGAAGACATACCAGCATCGAGTCCCAGGGCCTAGTGTGCCGGTTCGACATACTCCTGCACTTCCATCATAGCAAGCAGTATATGGTTGAGGGGAACATCCAATGTATGATCCTGAGGTCATGCAGGTCGTACTTGGGCAGAATAGTGCCTGAGGCTCGGCTGCTACTGCGTCAGAAGGGCACCTGTGACGAAGAATCTTGAAAAAGCACCACTAACTTTCTGCCGAGTTCACTAGGAATCCGCAGGTATTCTCAGATGCTCGCCGGTCGAGATGCGCATTTCTGAATCGTATTCTTGGCGGTGCAGTCGGAGCGGGCGACGCCCTCTTAACGAATCCAAAGCCATCGCTGATGGGTGTGCGGCGGGCCGGCAATGGGTTTGCAACGTCCATCCGCTTTCCGGGCTGCAAGAGACAGACGGCACCGGTGGGAAGTACAAGAAGTAGATGCAGACGCATCATTCGTTCACAGTTGAGGGACTGCGTTGGACTGACGGATATAGATCACAGCAATTTTGACAGAATGGCCACCACCCGGGGAGACAATGCATACATATGTTGTTCAATTGCAGATGGACAAGTTGGAGAGAACTCAAGAAGAGGCACTGAAATCTCATGTGACACCCAGCTTCCCGTCCTAAATATCTGCCTCTGACATTGGGTGGCCGATGACGAGGAATGGGGCAGCATACCTCGGGTAGAGTAAGTTCCATGCCATCTAATCAGGCCTAGACATTTTAGACGCTCATGCTACTAAAAGGGCCTTGGTGAGAGTCAAAGACGACGCAGGCTCATACAGATGCCAAGGCAGTCCTCAAGACATGAGCAAATCTTGTGAGGAAGTTGAGATAAACGGGCTTGATAAGTTGGCTAATTCTCGTGGTGAATGGTTTCGATACTGAATTATTGTAACTACGGTTGAAAGAAAGTACTATATTTTCTCTGAAGTTATCTCGCCTCCAAGGGAGAAAAGGTCTTGACTAGTTCGCGAGGGAGAGGCCAAGACAGCAGCTTTCTAAAAGTCGCAAGGATCTGTGCCACACAGCGTATTTATATGTCTCAGGCACATAAAGCCAATTCGGCGCCGGCTCAAATACTGTCCATGCAGATCTGTTTTGATTCGACCCATTTCCGGCAGTTTGTGGCGTCCCAAAGCTGATTGAGTGTCTTGGCCTGACTTGAAGCTGTTCGTGATTTGAATGACCCTTCGCGATATTGCACATTAAACTACTCTTCATGTACTATGAACAACTGAAAGGGAATATACAATTGGTAATGACCTCCAAACTTCAATCGAAGCTGCCAGATCAAATTTGATCCTTCTTAGCCATGCCAAAAACTATCATCCGAGTTCTGCCGGCTTGCTCGGGCTGCCTACCGAATTGACCGCCGCGGGGAGCTGTACCGGCTTCTCCACCACAGGAGCCTCACACAATTCTCTGGCTATCGGGGTGTTGGCTGGAGAAGTTGGCGACGCGGGGTTGCTCTTGGATTGTCCGTACCAGCCCTCTGTTTGTGGTTCATGATGAGGGCTGTGATTCCCCGGGAGTTCCTGGACGACCGTTGACCTCCTGAATGGCCGTGATGTTCCGCGTTTCTTCTGCACAATAAGCCAGACTACGATGCAGCCGGCAATAGCAAGAATAGCGAGGCCACCGAGAACGCCGCCGACAATAGGGCCTACCGGGGTCGGAGAGCTGCCACTGCTCGCCTCACTGATGGGCGTCAACGGGGCAGTTGGACTGCTCAAGATCAGAGAAGTAGAAGATAGAACGACTGAAGACGCCACTGAAGTCGTTGCTGGTACTTCAGTGCTCCCCAAAGCCTCCATCGCTGCTGTGTGCAGCCAAACAGTCGCGTCCCATACGACGTCGTCGTTTCGGCAACCTAAGAGCGTTTTGGTGCCTAAACCACCATCATCCCTGAGAAAGGTCTGGCATTCTGGAAGCCATCCAGAAGCTGAGGTGCTTCATATGAATGTCAGTATCAAGTGAGCAAAGGGGAAGGCAGCGCGGCGTACCAACACAAAGTCTGACTTCCGATAGTCCTGCCAGCCGCGCATTCAGGGGCAGCACCCCCAAGGCAGGTTGTGTATGGTCTGTATCCACACCCCAGCCATGAACCCCAGGCCGAGCAGTCGGATGCAATATCATCGCATACGCGAGTCATCAAATCTTGATGGACAGTTTATCAGTTTCCTCATCTTCAAACATGGAAAGCGGAGCCGTACCATGATCATGGCTCACAGTGAAGAACCCGCAAGTGTCTGACCCGAGAGTTTCATGATGGCGAATCGACATGGCCCTCAACACTAGGTTAGGTGCTGATGTCGGTGCTGGTGGTATGCTAGTAGCAATATATCTGGATCTTCGTGCTTGAGTTCTTTTCGGCCGATCGTGATGGCCGTCACGGCTGTGAACGCTGCCAAGGGAGCCTTTCCAACTGCCGTCACCCTGAAGCCCGGTATCCTTCTTTATGGGACGGATGCTCCTGGCAAGGTTTTCCTCGCGTCGGTGATCCAAATGTCCAGCTCGTCTCTTTCGATTTTGGCGGTCTTTGCTGTTATTCGGACCATCGTGTCTGTTTATTCTGTTCTCGAAGACGTCTTGCTTGCTACTTCCGCCGTCGTGGTGGACGGTGCTGTTCGAATGATGAATACCACAAGTAGTCTTAGGAAGGGTTGCCGGCCGCTGATGTCCAACCATGTTCTCTGGACTTTCCATCTTGTCTTGGTTGACCTGTTCAGTTGAAAAGAAGAAGGGTGGAACTCAAGGTAGGTTGGCTCATCACCGGATAAAGCAGTGGGATGCCTCGAGAAAGGAGACTTTCAGAAGTTATAAGCAGAGAGACTCTCATCGTCACCCTTTGGCACGTCTCGGCTCAGTGGCGAAGGTCATGAAAGAGACGGTCCAAGGGCGAGTGTTTGTCCTCCCGCCGAGGAGGGCTTCGATTTAACATCCTCCTGTGAGTGTTTGTCGAGACATTCTCCTCGGCCTGACAATTCTCGAATGACCAAACCTTGTGTCCCTCGAGTTCGTTTCTTTGATGATGACATTCGAGACGCCCTGTTTTCAAATGACCATCAGTGATCGTGCCCAGAGATCTTCTTGGCCCTTGCATGGATGAACCACGGCCCGGTGGTGTTGTTTGCCACGTTCGCGATGCTAACAGGGGCGGACTCTTTGTCTTCAAGCGAGAACCCTAATCCGCTGCCACGTTTGTTTGGCAACCAACATCCTAGTCATCGAGTGGGATCGAATTATTGAGACTATTAACATTATCTCTACCAATACTCTCGTACCAAACGCTAGCCTGTGCCACCCACATGCGAACCTACGAATCCAGCTCTGCCGGCGTAGTTGGGCTACCAAGCTGATTGCCTGACGGCGTCTTACATACCGAAGCGGTCGAGATCCTCGGCGCCGACACTCTGATGACGGGCGACTCCGGCGGTGCCGGAGGCACTAACGCCGTAGGCCGATACTCACCGTGCTCCCTGTTCTGAGGATCATCAGGCTCGTCCCCCTGAAGCTCAGCCATCGGTGTCTCAAGCCGCCTGCCCACTGTCTCTGCTTTTGCTTCTAGACTTCGACGTCGCCGGACAAGAAGCCAAAGGACGAAGCACGAGATGGCGCCTACAATGGCAATACCGCCTATGACACCTCCCACAATGACCCCAGCTTGTGAAGAAGACGAGTTTTCGTTGCTTGTGTCAGAAGATTCCGAAGCAGAGGGCAAAGTGGGCGCAGGTTCTGTTGTAGAGGAAGATATCGCCGGAGCTTCAGATGTCCGGGCCTCGATAGAAGATCCAGCAGCCAAGATGCTTCCGGTGGTTGTCGTACATGGCGCAGGTAGGGTGATAGAGTCTATCTGAACCAGTAAACTCGTTGCCCAGTGCAAGGTGACCGTCTTATCCCAGGCGAGCGCAACATCGCGGCATCCATACAATTTCTTGATTCCCAGTTCGGCATCGTCTCGGACATATGTCTGGCATGCCGGCACCCAGCCGGAAGTTTCGCGACTGTCACCGTTAGTTCGTGGATGGGCTGAGGAGCCAACTTTCTCAAACTTACCAACAAAGTGTGCCGGCGCCGACTGTCTTCCCAGATTGACAACCCTGGATCTCCCGTGCGTTCGCGCACACCGAATACGCGATATTATTGCAGCCGATGAACCCGTCAGATATCTTGCAAGCCTCATTCGGCGGACATTGGTGTGTTCTAATTACTGTGAACTAGTCAGCCCATAGCTTAAGTCATTGGGAGCGAGAGAGTTGGAACATTTGTCTTCCTCGAGAGTGTAGTAGCCGCAGAAATTGGTTGGTCTACTGGTAAGGCTGTCTCTGGCTTCAAGTCTTGGAGGCGGAGTCGGCGATAAGCCAGCATTGTAGGGCCGTGAACTCGTAGCTTTGACAACGACGATCATCGCTCCGAGAACAGACAAAGTACTGAAGAGTCGCATCGTCTTCAGGCTAGCTCGTCTGATGAGCCATCCCACTCGTCAGGAAGTAGCCGGAACAGAGGAGACTGGAGAGTCCTTTTGCGACAGGGAGGCGGCCATGGCTAGATTTAATCTCTGGCCTATTCATTCTTCCGACACTTGAATGCATGTGAGCACGGTAGTAAGCCAATGAAAGAGTCATTGAAAGCCGCATGTTTGTCAAGGAGCCGAGCTGCGACATGCGCTGCTCCACCTCGATGACAAACAAGCAGCGGCCGATAGGTGACCTTGTCACCTGCTTCTGGTCGCCCTCGCTTCATCCGCAGGGAAGCGAATGATTGGAACTGAATTCTTCACATGAAGATTTGAACTGCCCGAATCTATCGCGAGAACGGCTGGGGTAGGTATTGCTGGTGGAGGACATCTTGAGCGCGGTTTGTTTGCTTCAACGACAAGGAAAGCCGAGAACTGAATACAGAGAGATGGAAGACTGCTGTATAGAGTATGCGTAGACTTTGATGATAGCAGGGGTGCCAGAGATGCTGTGATAAAGTGTAAAGACGAGCCACAGAGAGAGCTGAAGTTGAATTGTTCTATGTCGTCCACGGTGAAGTGGAGAGAAAAGTAGGCCAGGGCGGCAGTGCGCCTTCGAGGAAAGATCCACCTGCGTGCATTGGAAGGAGCTGCACCGAAAAACATGTTCTTTCTTCTCCGATTGTATCCTGCCAAGCGGCATGAACAAGCAGTGAGTTGGGTTCTCCTCGAGGCGGAAGGAGGGAAGAATAAGTGGGGCGCCGGTGTAAGTCGGTGTGGGGGACAAGTCCGCGGCAACGCGCCGTGACCTCTGGTCGCCGCAGCTCGCGCAAAAAAATTTACTTTCATTATTATTTTCTTTTCTTAAGAAGTCTAGATATTGAACAGCAGTGAATGCCACAGTCCACTACCTGCTGGTAGTTTTCATTGTTGGCGTATGTCAAGGTCGTTTGCGCCTGCCTATCTGTCGACTTGCACAATTTCAGACCAAATTCTCTCGCCGGGCCCACCCTCACTGCCGCCAGAGCTGCTCATCTCACAACCTCTCACTTTTATTGTCGAAAATCACACGCCTGCAACCTCTCTCAAGGGCTGCTGCCTTCTCAGACACGGACTACACAACAACCTCACAAGACACGACCGACCTCGCGCAAAATGACCTACCAGTATAAGACACCGTTTACCTTGACAGTCGAAAGGGAGGATGGCGATGTTCGCAAGAAGCACGGCACCAGCACCAACGCTTGGCGCGGACCCCTCTTTCACATTTGGCCCATTAACACGCCAGCGGGGTTCTCGGGCGTCTCTTGCCTCATGGTAATCATCAGACACTTCAACTCTTGGTTGTTAAAGGATGAGGTGGCCTACAACGACCCGCTCCGACAAAAAGAGGAAGAAGACAACCCGCTACTGCAGCTGTCATGGGAGACTGCGCCCCTCTGCTACCCCAGCGACTTCGAGGACCTGAGGACCAATCTCATCAAACACAAGATCATATCCAGAGAGACTGCCGAACGCGACCTCTCATTCGCCTACCTGGAGCAGTGCGACAAGCTCGCCGAAACCATATGGGCTCGTGGGCAATTCAACCTCTTTGTCAAGATGACGAAAGGGAAGGAGGAGGACCCATGGCAAGAGGTGATGTTGAACTCCAAAGAGCACGTCATCGTCATCGACAACGAAGCGCAGGGGATGACCGGATTCGACGTTCCGGCCGCAATCAGAAGGCCTTGTGGACCTACCGACGACGGCACCATAAGCTTCATCTTTACCTACGCCCCGCCGATTATCAGAGTCAGATTCACGCCGTCTGCGAACGACAAGTTCAACCTGATGGATTTTCTGACTTTCAAGATGGTCCTGCCGTATGGTCGGCATCATCCACTTAAGGGACCATATCGGTACGTGTTGGCTATGGCTGTCAGGCAACGGGCCGAAGGCAAGGATGGAATAGATCGCATCAGATCTTTCCACGAAACCGGTTCAGACAATTTCCCATCGGATGAGGAGACCTACAGCGAGTCAGACTGGGAGATCGGCGAGCCTGGTTACACGTATGCTCTTTACTACCACGAGACCAAAGCCAACTGGTTTCCATTGAGCCTGGAAGAGAGAGCCAGCGTGCGGAAACTCCGTGAAGACCGCAAGGCTACTAGACCTGCGTACGAGAGAGGACTTGCCGCACCACAGGCATACCTGCATGGTTGTCTTGGTGACGACACGAAGAGAGACCGGTCTCTAAGTACAGAGGAAAGCGAGCGCCCAGCGAAAAGCGCCCGCAAGTCGATAGAGCAGCCTTCTCAGGTTCCTGGCATGGGTATGGCTGCGGTCTCTTGCAACTCTTCGGCTGCAAAGAATGAATCTGGTATCAAGAACGAGCCAAGCTCGAGTGATACCGATTAGGGTGTTGAAAGTGCTGTGGAGTTTCTTCAGAAAACTCACAACTCAGTTGCCGGCAAGAGGTACAGGAACAGCGGGCAATTCAACAGCCTAAATCGAGCTGGTGTCTAATTAGGGGCTCGTCGCGGGAGAGCGCATGGCCAATTCTCTTGGAGTCTACCGGTCAGATCACGAATGTATGGATCAAGGTTCGGCCAGTTAGTTAGACTTGCAGAATCGATTGATAGACTTCAAGTCTGGACCACGGTGTTACGTGGATAAGTGTCTCCAGCTCGAGCTTTCGTATTTACCTGTGATTATGGCATCGAGCCACTTGAAAGATGTGTACTCTGTCGGGGCCCAAATGAGAGGTGTTTTTGATGAAAAGTACGAACCACTTGAAATGCATTGCGGTACTGTTCAGAAGGTCCGTATTTGTCTCTGTAAATGATGCAAGATACGGAGGCGGGGAATCGCCCAGGTAAAGTCTCGTCAACTTCAGCTCAGCGATGCTTAAAGAACGTAGAAGGCATCTGGGATACCAATGAGCATTAGTAGATACTCTCTAATTTTGCAGTAAAATGTGTGTCAACGGTATCTGGGTAAGAAGCCGACGATTTGCGTTGCCATTATGAGCAGCGAGCTGCTTGACTACGCTGGAGCTACCCACCAGCACAACCTCACCGGCACATCAACGGGTCAAGTCACTAGGATCAAAGGTAACAAAACATTTAGAACTGCAACGAAGATGTATTCATACAACTACACGACCCCCGCAGTCCGTCGCCGACTATGGCGAGACAGAGACCATCCTACCCCCCGTCATTTCGATTGCGACGTCAAGTCTGACAAAGACGAAGCTCTTGCCCTCGACAGGATCTTCCTGACGCAAAACAGGCATGCAGTCATTAATCCTCTCATTCGCGAGATGAAGAGGGCACTGCCCATATCTGAAAGCGGGCGACTCTCCATCGTCATCTTCGTCAACCCTATAGATCGCATGAGTGAAGCAGTAGATGACGTCTGGTCGACTGTAACGCAAGAAGAAATCGAGCAAGTTGGTGCCCGTTTGCGTCAGTAGAGGCATGGAGATAGTGCTGATAATGTCTAACTTGGAGTACGAATCGCTTTCCTTGGGATGGCTCCGCTTGAAGTTGATCTTGCTCAAGTTGTCCCTGAGGGTATTGATATGCCACTCCGCGTCTTCGGCATTCTCTCTCCGCTCCGCTGCGAGATCCCTCGAAAGATTGGAACACTTCTCCTTCTCTTCTCGAAGTGCGTCAGAGAGCTCACTGCACATAACCCGCTCAGCCTGGAGGCTGCAAGAGACCTCGGCGAGCTCGTTCTTCCCATGTTCAATTTGTTCAGAGAGTTGTCGACTATCGGTCCTTAGAAGCTGGAGTCGAAAAGAGATAGTAGAAGCATCGTCCCGCTTGAAAACTTCGTGCCTCGCTTTTTCAAGCTGTGCTTGAACCTCAGCGCACTTGTTCTGCTCAGCCTGTAAACTAGCAGAGACCTTCGCAAGCTTAATCCGCTCGTCGTGAAGTTGCTTAGAGAGCCCAGTAACCTGGATCTGCTCACGCCGAAGGGCATCCGCTTGCTCTCGTTGCTGTTGTTGGCTGCTCCTATAGAGCTCGTCGAAATTATGTTTCTTCCTCACCAGGAGCTGCTTGCACTGGGAAATTTCCTGTTTGAGTTTCTTCGCCGATGAATCCACCAAAGATTGCCTCACAGCCGTCGTTGCCGCGTTCGACAACGCGGTTAAGAGCGTCGACTCTGGGTTGCTCGGGTTTTCATTGAGAGCGTGTAGCTGTCTATCAATGCCCGTGCAAAGCCTCTGGACCATGGAGACTCTGTCATCAACATCGTCAACGGGGCTGACTGCCGCTTCTTGCTGCTGCTCGTCTTCCTGTATATATTCGCCTTCCAAGCCCGCTGGCAGTTTTCGAGCGCCGGTCTGATGTTCCTCGTCGCCAACCTCGTCGCGGCGGCCTTTCTTGTGAGTGACGTTGGAGCGATTGCCGTCCCAGTCGTGCGGGACCAAATCACGGCCACGATGGCGCTTGCTGACCAGGCATCCCCGTGAATTAGTAAATCCAACCTCTAAGCAGCTGGATTTCTGGATTTCAGGACTCCAGATGATTCCCACGTTCTAAGAACCTTCCGCCTTTGTCCATTGGTCCCCTTCAACATTCTATCCCTCAGAGTCTTCTCCAACTGCTGTTTTGAATACCGGAGTTCGGCCGAGTCCACCTGGCGGAATAGGTCCCAAACGACCCATACTATTCCCGGTCCGCGGGGAGCGAAAGTCAGTGGAGGTTTAAGATATCCATTTCCTTCAACCGTCCAAATGAGTTTGGCACTAAACTGATGCCTTGCGAGGATCAAATGGTCACATAGTTCACCAAGTTGAAGGCTTCAGATTCTAAAGTATGGTGAATATCGAAAATATGAATTTGGGCTCATCGTGGTAGTAAGAAGCAAATCCACAACCTAGAATGCAAACTTCACCACATCCCACCTTCTAACAATCTAGAGCCTCTGCGGTCCTCTGGCACATAAGAGTTATCTGTAACAGTTTCTTAGCCACTGCTTTGAGTTCCCATGATAGAATGACGTACGAGATCGCTTATTCATGCGTATCGTTGCTCCACTGCCCAACTTCATAGATGTCGCTGAAGCTTTTGTAGGTCCAGCAGAACACATCGAAGAGTTCTTGGTTGGACTCGGCGGAATAATTGTGAGGCTTTGTCTCGACTAGAGTAGCCCCAAACTCGCAATTGGTGACATCTTCAATGTTGATGTCTTGGCTCTCGAAGGCAGAGGTGACATCCACCTGTTGTGCGGCGATGGCTTTGCACTTGTTACAGTTGCTTTGGTGACGTTTCTTGTTCGATGTGTGGTTTTGACGCTCTTCTCCGCAGGCCATTCGGACTTTGGGACCATGTTTAGACTTGACATGTCTGTTCAGGTTTGTTTTGGTGGAAAACGTAGAATTACACCCGATTTCGGTGCACCTCCAAGTGGAGGAACAAGTACCACCGGCCATGCTAGTGAGTTTCGAGAGCACGTTGAGTAGGTTCTAGATGCTTGGATCGTAGAGGAATACTATAGCAATAAGTACGAGAGGTATTCTATCAATGTTTAAGTTTTGAAGATCATGTTAATATATTCATTCCAAGTTTATATATACAGACGGCCAACCTTGAGGATTACACTGCTGAGGAATTGATGCTGCAACGTTCCGCGACAGCCCAAGTCGAAAGTCACTAGATTACAACCGTCCGGGGGAGGCAAAAGAGCGGCGACAGGTCGGCAAGGTATGGGCGGTCACTGCTTCTGCAATCCTTGTCGAGAGCACCCTACCTTAGACCTTAGCAGTGGGTTGTATTCTGGGTAAGGTACTTGAGCCAGGTACCAAACAGGATGTGCGAGGGCAGAGCAAGGGAGGTACTTGCTCCCAGGTCCAGGTCCAGGTCGGGTACGGCTATTGGGGGTCGCTGCCAACGGCCAAGGGTCTTGAAGCTGTGTAACCACTATGAGCCGCTGCGACATCCACATTGGGAACCTAGGACTCTCCACCCAAACGCCTGGACATACTGATCGATGTTCATTCGACTGGAATCACTGGCAAGAAACCTGGCATTATGGGATGGTAACACCCGGTGAAGAAGAAGGCGTTATTTTGTGAGTACTGATTGAATATTTCCGCGTTAACCCACTACATGCGAAACCCAACGGCCAAAAGCTCCACTACTGCATATTTTGGTGGAGGGTGTGCTGCGTAGTCAACAGCGATGTATGCGTGATCTGAACTAAGCAATGAGAAGACACGGGTCATTTTTTGTAACTGTTCAGCTTGATGCTCTTTTTGCCTCTCCTTTCTTGGTGTAGTGGAAGGGGAGGTGATGAATTAGCTACCAAACATGTCTCTCTGCACTAGCTCCCGAATCAAGCTAGAGACTCACCGGCGCGTACGGAGTCTTCCAAGCCTTGCTCCTCACCTGCGACTCACACGAGTCCTCACTCGAACGCCTGGTATACTGCCGCACTCTCACAGCTCATGTATGGATCAGTTGATAATTCAAGCCTTAACGGAATTTATAGTCTCATTGTAAATGGATGCATGCTTATTCTTCTTATGTGACTACGTTGTCAACTGGGCCGATCTCTAGGTGTCCTGAAGACTACAAGTTGCGCATTAGAGGCTATCAACATGTTGTTCATTGTGCGTTTTGGTTCTTGTTGTCCCGGAGTGGGTTACTATAACCTGTGCATGAAGCCTCAAGCTCGATATAGAGTTAGACGGGGGAGCCAATATCAGCTCATGTCATTTGACTGTGAAGTACCTTACTTACGGGACCGACGGGCTGCGGAGTCGGTCTTGGTGCCTCACACGGCCCGGAGCCGCCCGGCCCCCCATCCTTGCTTCCATCTTGAGCCATACCACAATAACTTGAATTTCACAAAGCAAAGAAACTACGGATACCCATGCCGTAACAATTTCAATGCGAGAAGGGGCTTTGGAGCCTTCCAGTCCCACACATAGAGTCATCTGAACATCCAGCGACAGAAGTCCGGAAGCTCGCGCATACAGCACCTAGGTGACCATAGGCGCATCACGTCCCGACCCTTATTTGAGGTTGCGCGCGTATGACAAGCTGGTGACGCAGGATCTCATTCACTCTGAACTAATTTCCGCTCTTCTGCTCTTCAATATCAAAGTCTAATTGGCGGACTGCAGTGACTTTCATTTCTCTCGTGCCTCCAAGTCAATGTGAATAATGTGCTAAATGCATTTTCATCGTCGTCGACGATCCCTAGATCCCGCATTCCTCACTCAAGACTTCTAAGTATCTGAACAAAATATTAGCAAGATGTCTTTCACCAGAACGCAAACATACTGCTCTATGATCAAGCTAGTCTTCCCTTAACTCGCGGTGGCCACGGTTCTAGTAGGTCAAGTACTGTTGTGTATCCAGGCAAGTGTGTATGAGGAGTCCTCGCCATCTTGACTGCTGCCGTCTACATTTCCCACTTCGAAGATTTGAAGGTCAAGAAGTTGCCAAGGCAAGCTTATGATTATCCCGGACAACTTGAGTAAAACCAATTCCAGAGTGCCGTTTGATCTTGTTTTTCTTACATGTTCCGCAAATTTGTGTGTGACGCTTGATATTCCATGTGTAGGTATTTACTTCTCTCCCGCAGAGTATTTTAGTGGGATTTGGGCCATGCATAGATTTGATGTGTCTGTTGAGGTTGGGTTCAGTGGTGAAAGGACCAGATGTGCAATCTCCTTCGGCGCAAGTATAACTATTTGTGCTGCTAGTCATCCGGAGCGCAGCTCTTGAGGCGAAGCGCAGCGAAGCCGAAGGAGCGGAGCGAGGGAGTTACATACTGCTCAACCACCAAAATTGGGGTATAAAATTAATATAAGGGATCTCTTCGCCAATTGGCCGCAGCCTCAAAGCCCTTCGCGGATTAGTCGGCAGGGTGGCGCTAATGTGAGGTTATTCCGAGAGGGTAGGAGGGCAGGCAAGAGGGAGAGCTACACTCTGGTAGTTGCGCTGAGGAAATAATAAGCGCCCACAGTATCTGGTAGTAAGGTAATGAAGCAAAGAAATCGATTCAGTGTTGAGGTGCGTTCAATGTGCGAAAGGTAGAACTTTGACAATTGAAAAGGGCGGTTATCGAGGAAAGGAGAAATATTTACAACGCTCATAAACGCCCATCGTGGAGAGCTTGGATTCTCTTTATATTGCCAGGCGTGGCTATGAGGAGTGACGCGACGCTCTTATTGTTACCCTAGTCTTTCTTCTGTCTCCTTGCAGGAAGCAGCGTTGGGAAATGATATGTGTGATGAACGAAAGGTTCTTACTCAAATTGACTACCAGATGTGGGGTTTCTCGACTGGCTGCTGACTATGGCGAACAATGTAGCCAGGTTTCTGACGATTTGCGTGTGCTAACTCGATTTGGCCTTGTGATTCGAGCCTGGAATCAGAGAGCCTATCTAGGTATAGTGTCTAAGAGAAGTAAGTGGGAACGCACATTGGTTGTAAAAGTCGGCCTGCGATGCGACGCTAGGGGTGTGCAAGCATCCAACAGCATGGATATCGGGGGGGATGGCAACCCGCCAGCCAGCTCATGGCTTGGTCTGGATGAGCGTCCCTTCTCGTTGGCGCGGCCATGTGTGTTTATATGCTTGTGTGCGTCAGTGTTGATGTAGCGTCCGTTGCCTATCTCTCACTGTCCGTGCATCCTCTCCCACATCCTTACCACAGCATCCTTGTCAAAGAGGATTTGATTTTGACTTAATTGGCCGCGGCTTGGGGAATCAATGTTTCCCGATTACTCGTCCAATGAAGTTCTACGTAGACGCTGCCTCACTGCATCGCACCTATCAGGACGCGAGGAGCAATGTCCATGAGGAGCAGGCCAAGGTGAGCCTCTCGCTAACCCCTCTGTCATTGCAGACCTCTCAGTTTAACTTGGGCGCATGAGCCCGGGTATGTGGAAAGGGCAAACGGGAAAGAGATGGAGAGAAGGGGGTAGGTACGGGTGGTGGTAAGACGCTATGCAGCAAAGGTGTTTCTTGGCAAAGGTACGAACGTACATACACACACCAGATCTCGAATATGTGCATATATTTTGGCTTCAGAAGGGGCCATATTGGCTCCAAATTGTATGCTAAGCTAGGAGGCTCCTCGGGATGCCTGATGTTCGGCGTCCGCATTTTGGTCTCGTTGTGACTTAGGCATCGCGAGACCAGCCGACAATTTTTGACTGATGGCCTTGGCACGTGTACCAATCACAAGTGCGGCTCCGAGATGTCGATGAAGTGACAACAGCAGCCCGAGAATATATGTCGCGTTAGATCGAGCGATGCAAGCTTGTACCCGCACAAATTCGTTCTCGCCCTCGTGATTTGCTGTTGGCAGGGGCTCGGCCAGGCGAAACCTCATGCCAGGTCTCCCTTGGCAGGCAGCCTGAATCCTCTATGAGAACGCAAGCAGTGTGCTTACTGTCATGCCACCGCAACTAGGTGGGCCTCAAGATGTAAGCCATGTCACAAGCCACATGAAGTCATGTGACTGACCGGATTCTCTTGGTGAGGGCCAGATTGGTTGCTGCAATGGTTTTCGGTGACGTCCAGCTTGGCTCTGTAGACGTGTGCGATTCGACTGGTCCAAG